AGGTTGTAGCTGTGAAGGCAGTAATTCAGACTCATTTTTTTTTTTTTAAGATTTATTTGAAGGGGTCTCTCTCTCTCTCTCTCTCTCTCTCTCACACACACACACACACACACACACACACACACACACATCATCTATTTGTTGGTTCATTCCCCAAATGGCTGCTCCAGCCTAAAGTCAGTAGCCTGGAATTCCATCCAGGTCTCCCATGTGGGGCCCAAGCACTTGGGCCATCCTCTGCTGCTTTCCCAGGTGCATCAGCAGGGAGCTGGATTGGAAGTGAGTAGCCTAGACTCAAACCAGTGCTCACACGGGACGCCGGCGTTGCGGCCGGTGTCTTAGCTCGCTGCACCACAACGCCAGCCCACATTTGTCGGTTCTAAGCAGACTCAACAAACCCATCCAGAGCCCCCATTTCCTGATTGTCTTGTGGGGACAAAGGGAAGTCTGCAAGGAGGAGTGGCTTCTGTCCCCAGCATCACACCCTGGAGGCCTCCTTCCTCCCACAGCACGGAGCTCCAGCTCTATCGAGCAGGGTCCTCCTCCTGGGCTGCCAGCCTCAGGGGTTTGCACTGGACAGCTAGCAGTGCCATGGGCACATCAGAGGGTTCTGCCCTGGAGGCTCAGGCAAGTTGGTGCAGGGAGGCGCCCGCCATGGCCCCCTCCTTACACCCACCCCGCCCTCAGGAGGGCCAGGGGCTGAATCAATGGATGCTTTGAGTAATGGAGGGAGCCATACCAAACATGGGCAGCCCTGGGCAGCTAAAAGTAAACCCCCCTCCCCCAAGATGACCAAGAGTAAAAATAAGCCAAGACATAGATACAGCGTTAGAAAAGAAATGCAAATAGCAAAAGCAGAAGCGGAGAGCACAGGAAAAGCGAGGGGAAAGGGGTTAGCAAGAAGGCACAAGGAAGACAAAGCAGAGAGGAGCCGCTAATGTGCACCGAGGAGCCCTGGCCGCAGCTGCATTGGACGGAGCAGGTGCAGTCAGCAGTGAAGACCGAAGATCAGAGAGGAACCCCTGGCGGTTCCAGTGGAGGGGGGGTCCCTGGAGCTCCCCGGTGGGGCTGAGCCTGGTGCTCAGGCTCCTTCCAAGACGCTGGCTGAATCCTCCCTGCTGGCCGGACACCAGGACTTGGGCTGTCTTCTTCCTTGTGGACACAGCAGAGCTGGTCTTCCAGGCCGAAGTGGGCAGAGAGGCCCCTGGGCTGTCCCCGTCTCTTTTTGGCCTGGGTGCAGTGTCCTGGGCCCAGCTGTCCTGGAAACCTCAGGGGAGGGAGGGAGGAGCACCCGGGATCCTGTGGGCTCCCTCAGAGGCGTGCGGCTGGGGAGGGGTGCCCGGCAGGGCTGGTTCTGCAGGCAGTTCCTGGCGCTGACCCTGCGGGAGTCCAGGTGATTGGCGGGGGTGACAGGGAAAGCTGGGAGAAGGGGGGCTGTGCATTTTTAGCACAAAGCTACAAGTGCCCGTCTGCCCGGACGCTTCACCAGGAGCCTCTGTGGTGATCCGGTCTGGTCCAGCAACATCTCAGTGGACAGTCCCAAGAGGCCCAGCCGCTCCTTTTGCACCCTCCTCCCTCAGTTGCTTGTGTGGGAACACCATCTCCTGGGTTGGGACTAATGGACTCGGTGTTCATTTCTGGGAGCTTACCTTTGCACAGTGAGGAGCAAGCCGAGAGGACTCGCCTGGTGCCTTGCGCCAGTCATGCCTTGCTAAGGCTTTACTCTCCTTTCTGTGGAGTGGGCATGCATCCCACGACTCAGAGATGGCGAATTTATCTGCTCTGTGAGGTCTCTGCGGTATCGGTAACTCGTTCACTGAGTTCAGCTGCTTCTCCTGGTTTTGGGTCTTGGTTTGGGGGAGGCAGCTTTTGCTGTCCCAAGGGTTATCCACTCCAAAGGCTTAAGGGAAGCTGGACTGGGCAGGCCAGGATCAGAGTAACAAAGGCTTGACAAAGTGGACCCAGCCTCCTTAACGCCCCCTGAGGCCTGGCAGTCCCAAGTTCAGGGGGCAGAGGGTTACAGGCATCCTGCTTAGGGGCTGGCACTCTGCAACAGTGGGTTAAGCCACCTTCTGTGACGCTGGCATCCCCAATGGGCACTGGTTCAAGTCCTGGCTGCTCCACTTCTGATCCAGCTCCCTGCTAATGTGCTTGGGAAAGCAGTGGAGGATGGCCCCAAGTCCCTGGGCCCCTGCACCCATGTGGCAGGCGCAATGAGGTTTCAGGCTGCTGGCTTTAGCCTGGCCCAGTCCCAGCCATTGCAGCCATGTGGAGAGTGAATCAGCAGATGGAAGAGCTCTCTCTCTGTCTCTGTCTCTTCCTCTCTCTGTAACTTTCAAAATAATAAATAAATCTGTTTTTAAAAAATGTTCTGCCTAGAGGTGGCTCTGCATAGGTCTCCTGTGATCTCTGGGCATGTCTCCCAGCGCAAAGAAAAGTGGGGGCCACATAGAGTGTCCCTGATGTCCAAGCAAGGAGTCTCTGGGGACCTCAAGTCCTTCTCAGGGAAGCTAGCTGGGCTGTGTGGAGGGTTTCAGGATCAGCACCAGGGGCTGAGCACCTAAGGGTGGTGAATGAGCTTATCATCTGGGAGCTGGAGGAGAGAAGGGGGAGCGGAGGACAGGAGGTGAGAGTCACCCAGGACAGCAGGGGGCTACACCTTGAATCATTACCCTCAGGTCCCAATTCATGGTGACCTCATCCAGACTAGAAGTTGCTAGACATTTCCCGTGTGTGTGTGTGTGTGTGTGCATGTGTGTTGTGTATGTAAGTGTGCACATGTGTGTGGTGTGCATGTGTATATTGGTGGGTTGTGTTCCCAGCATCTGGAGAGGGGTCTTGAGGCTTGCCCCACAACCCTGCTACTCCCAGCTGGGGAAACCTGCATAGTGAATAGCCCCTAGCTGGGGGTGTCACAGGCCCATTCTGCCAACACACTGCAAAGCGCCAGACAAGGAGCTGCTCCGGGGTCTCAAACCCTGTGGCTCTCAGCCTCAGATCCGAGCCCCTCTGGGACGGTCCCCTAGGAAGCACACTGCTATATAATAAAGCCTCACCCTTTATTCCCCGTCTCTCAGGGACTGGTGGGATTCCGTAGGAATGAGAGTTGCAGGAGGGTTCGGGACGGCTGGGCGGGGCAGCTCTCAGCACTCACGTCCCCTAGCCTGGTTTCTTGAAGAAGTGGGGCTGTGTGAGCCCACAACGAATGTCGCAGCCCAGTCTCCGAGGACTTGAGTGGCCCTTCATCCTGGCCGTCGCTGCACCTGCCCTTGGGGTTCCTGGCTGTTTCCACCTGCTTCTGTTCGCCACCTGGATGACCCTGCTTGTCCTCTGGGCTCTCCAAGCCTCCACAGGTCCCTTTCCTGACTTCTCCTTCCTCTGTCTTTCCCAAGTAAACTTGCCAGTGAGTGGTGGGCAGCTTGGGACACACACACACACACACACACACACACACACTCACTCACTCACCAGAGCTTAATGCCTGCAAGAACCGCCCTCTCCTCCCGTGGTAACCTCTTCTCCGCCATTAGAACTGGCACCTCCTCCAGGAAGCCAACACTGCTCTTCCTCCCAGACCCCGTCGGAGCTCAGGGCTCTCCTGCGCACACGCGGGTCATTCACAGTAGCTCCCTTCTCATCTTCCAGTGCCCCGGTAGGGGTCTGCCTCGTTCACTGCGTCGGGTGCGCTAAGCCGCTCCAAGTCTCTTGCACCCAACGTACAGCCTGTCACTCTGCGGGGTTACGACGAGGCCAGCAGGCGCTTCGAGCAGCTCCTCGCACGAGGCTCTTCCCAGGCGCGCCCAGACCCAGCTTCTGCGGAACCCGGGTCCAGGAGGGCTCCGCTGTCTGCTCGAGATCCTGGGAGTGTCACGGGGAGCCCGGTCCGACCCGGACTTGGCGCGAGGGCTATGCGTCCGGCTCGTCTGGCCCGCCAGGCTCGATCCCACAACCGGCGTCGCGCTGTTTGGTGGCGGCTGGCCGGAGGCGTCCGCCCGGCGGCGGAGGCTGCCCCGCTGGGCTCTGGCCGCCGGGCGCGGGCTGTTCGCCCGGGCTCGCGCGCGAAGGCGCCGTGCAGGGTCGGAGTCTGAGCCCGCCGGACGCTTGGAAGGCTCCTCACGTCCAGGCGCCGCGGTCACGGCTGCGCCGGTTTCCGGCCATGAATTGGGCTTCAGAGTCCGAGCCTCCCGCCCGACTCGGGGCTGAGCGCACCGCCCGCGGCGCGGGGGATGGGCCTCCGCTGAGGTCCGCGCGGCCAGCCGGGGTTCGAGCCCGCAGCCAGGGCTCCCTCCGCCACGCTCGGACGCCACTGGCCCCCTTGGATCCCCTGGCATCCTGGTGCCTGGCTCGGCGCCGTGCCCCCGTCTCTCTCCGGGATACCCAGGTCCTGCTCCGAGAAAGGGCTGTCTGTCCGGGTCCGGGGCATGACCCGAGACCCTCGGCGGCTGAGGTTGGCCGGGGCCGGGGCAGTCGGGGGCCGTCCCTCCTTCTTCCTCTCGCCCCTGGCGATCCGGAGGAACAAGGTCCGGGCCGCCACGTCTCTGAGCGCCGCAGCCCGGGCCGGTCCCCTCCGCCCTGCCGGCCTCCGACTGTCCCCCGGGCCGGGAGCGCGGAGCGCCCGGCGCCCCCTCCGAGCCGCGAGCGGGCGAGCGCAGCGCAGCGAGGCTGAGGCTCCGCAGTCACGTGGTGGCGAGGAGGGCGGAGGGGAGGGAGGCGGGCAGGGAGGAGGGGGAGTGGAGCCGAGGGGGAGGGGGAGGGGAGGGGGCGTCCTCCGCAGTTCGCTCCTCGCCGGGGCTCAGACACACCGCGAGCCCGGAGCCGCCGCGCCGGCCCGGCCGCCGCCGCCTCTGCCGCCCCCAGAGCCGCTCGAGCCGCGGGAAGCGCCGCCGCCCCCGCCGCGGGCCGCCCCCGCCGCGCCGGCCTGGGCTCGGGCTGCCGGCGCCGCCGCAACCGCCGCCGGAGCCGGAGCGGGAGCCCGATTGCGCTGGGCTGGGCTGGGCTGGGGCGGGCGCAGGGCGCAGGGGCGGGCGCGCGGGGGAAGACGCACGGGCGGGCTCGGCTCTGCTGGGGAGCGGCCCGGGACTGCACCGGGACCGGCGTCTCCCCGCTCCGCGCTGCCCTCGGCCTCGCCCCGGGCCCGGGCGGATGAGCCGCGCGCCCGGGGGACATGGAAGCGCTGACGCTGTGGCTTCTCCCCTGGATATGCCAGTGCGTGTCGGTGCGGGCCGACTCCATCATCCACATCGGTGAGCGCGGCTGGCGGCGGGGCCGAGGCGGGGTGGGGGCCCCTACGGCGCGGGGGTTGCACAGCGTCCAAACTTGGCGGTTCCCTGGGTCGAGGGGCTCGGCGGGCGGTGCTCCCCCGAAGGGCCGCGCCGCGCCGCCCCGCGGAGGAGCTGTGCGCGGGCTGCGCCGCGCTCCCGCGGGCGCCTCGCCGCTCCCCGGGGCTCCGCTCTGCGCGCGGGGCCCCGCGGCCTCTGTCGACACTTAGGGCCGCGGCTGCTGTGGGACGCGGGGAGGGACGCGCGTCGAGACCCGCGCCCCCGGCGGGGCCGTCGGCGGGCTCGGGCGGGCCCTTGCGCGCAGCTCGGGGCAGCTGGGGGCCAGGGGGCGGGCAGGGCCCCCGAGACTCGCCAACTTGGCAGGGCAGGATCAAAGAGGCCGGACTGAGGCCGTGCGCGAGAGTGGGTGGGTGCCGTCAGCGTGTGTCGCGGCGGGTGCACCTGGCACCGCGTCGGTGTCCCTGCGTGAGGGCGTTGGAGTGTGCGGGGCCATCGGAGTGTGTGTTGGCGCGAGCACCACGGTCTGTCAGCCTGTTAGAGTGGACGCAGCGTCTGCCTGTTCCCCGGCGTGTGTCTGTGTAGCTCTCGGTGTGTGTGGGTGTGTGTGTGTATCTGGTTGTGGCTACTGCAGCCCAATCCTGGACAGGCTCAGAGTTTCGCGTGGTCCAAGACTAGGGGGCCAGCAGACGGTCTGCGTGGAGGGAGCCAAGGGAAGCAGCGTGGGCAGCGGGGATGGGGTGGGGGGCTCTGGGCGGGAGAAGATGGACGGAGGGCGAGAGGGAAGCCGGAGAGAAGAGCGCGCGGGGAGGAAGGGGCGCGCCGAGGGGGAGTGGGCGGGAGTTGCGCGATGCACGGAGGAATCCCGGGAAGTTGGGCCGGGCTGGGGGCTGCGGACAGTCGCTCTGGGGGGGCGCCCCTCCGCAGTCGCCGTTCCGGAAGTTGGGAAAGACCGGCGAGCCCCGGGAAACTGGGGGCTGGGAGGTGAGAGAGGCGGAGAAGGCGGGACACGCGGGCGGGAGGAGTCGGGTGGTGAGAGGCCGCCCCCTTCCCCACTGGGAGAACTGCATTGCCCCCCGCGGGGGTCGGCGGGCGCGGGTCTCGAGGTCAGCGTTGCGGGCTCCGGGAGTGGCAAGGACCCGAGGAGGAGCGGGTGCTCCCTCCTGCCCTCGCCCTTCTGGCCCTCAGCTTGGGGGTTCACCAGGCCTAGTCCGGAGACCTCGGCCATGCTCCGGGCATGGCCGGGTGGGGATCCGGAGCGGCCCAGGCTGCAGGGCCGGGCTCCGGCGGCGGATCCGAGGCTGCAAACGCAGGGTCTGTCGAAGCAGGGTTATGCGCGCAAAAAGCCAGCCGGAGGGCGCCCTGGAGGAGCTGTCCGCGGTTCTAGAAGGGCCTCCAAGAACAGCTTCTTCTGGGACCTTCGTCCCCGCTGGATCAGAACGCGAGGGGCGTAGGAGGCAGTCCCTCCCCCTGCCCCCACAGGAAGAGGAAGCGCGGGAGATGGGAGGGAAGAGAGCAGGGGCCGAGCCCCGCGCGCTGGGAGGGGAGCGTCGCGGCCATCGCCGCTGCCAGCCAGCCAAGGCCCCGGGCCTGAGCAGTCCTCCTTGGCGCAGGACAGCCTGCTTGGTTCGGCTCCACTCAGCAGGGGATGCACATGGCAGAAAGGAGGCACACTGCATTCTGGAGTCGGGGTGGGGATACTGCCCTCTCCGGGAACTCTCAGACTCCTGGGATGGGACTTACTAGGTCCACGTCGGGGCGGCTGGGTGCGCCTGAGGCCACCTCGGCTTGGCTCCATCCATTGTGGCCTGGCTGGGACCTGTAGTGCCTGGGTTATATGACACGGGTGTGACCTGGTGACAGCATGTGGAATGGGCGTGCGTAACTCATGTCAGCGGTGTGCACATGCACCCCGGAGGGCAGCGTGGAGCACGCTCTGTGCGCACTGAACCGGCAGAGCCTAACCCGCACAGACTTCCTCATCACCTGGGAACCGGCGGTCCCGGGAGCCATCAGATCCCGGGGACGTGGGGAAGGCGCGCGCGCGGTGGGGGAGGCTTCTCCAGGCCTGGTCTTGACCCGTCCTCTCCCCCAAGGTGCCATCTTTGAGGAGAACGCAGCCAAGGACGACAGAGTGTTCCAGCTGGCTGTTTCCGACCTCAGCCTCAACGATGATATCCTGCAGAGTGAGAAGATCACCTATTCCATCAAGGTCATCGAGGCCAACAACCCGTTCCAGGCCGTGCAGGAAGGTGAGTGGCCGCTGTGCCACGGCTCGCTGGGCCACGCGGCCTGGAATCGGGGCGGCAGTGGCGACTGGCTCGGCTGCGCGGAGCCCCTTGCGGGCTAGTAGGCTGCGGTGCAACCTGCGGTGGCGCACCTTTCTAGGCCCAGACCGGCAGCGGCGCCGGGACTGCTGCGTGCGGAGGGGCTCTCGGACTCCGCTCTTTTCTGGCCCGGCAGGCGCGCGTGTGCGCTCCGCGCTCGCCGCGCAGGCGTGCATGGCTCGGGGCGGTCTTTGTTGCTGGGGTGTTTGCGGGGGGCGTGTCTGCGCGCCGGGTACCTGTGTGGAGCGCACCCGCCCGCCGGGTTCTTGGTGCGCCCGGGGTCTTCCTTGCCTGGAGCCGACGAGCGCCCAGCAGCCCGCGCCCGCATCGTCTGCCCTCTCCGGAGCAAGACTCGACTGGCGCCCTTCCGCGGCCCCGGGCCCCCCAGTTAGCCTCGGCCCCGCTTCGCCGCCGCGCTCCTCCTCCATCCAGGTTTGAACAGCAGGTTTCTCTCTCGCTGCCCACAAGGCGGGCGGAGGCGCCACCGCCTGGGCCGGAGGTGGGCGCTGTTTGCACAGGAAAGGAGCAGAGCTAGGCCGGGCCGGCAGCGGGGAAATCCTTACTCTAGGCCGGGCCGGGCTGCGGGGAAATCCTTACTCGCAGAGACTGAGGGGAAGGGCAGGCAGCCCCAGCAACAGGTACGCGGCGCGGGCGTCAGTGACCCAGATACCTCCCGCGCGCCTCGGCTCCCCAGTTGGCTCACAAGGCCCCTCTCTGCCCCTGACGCAGTCCAGAGTGGGTCCCATTTCCTCCCGGTTTGCCTTCCTCCACACACGGCCTGTGGGTTTGACTCTGAGACCGGCACCCTGGAGCGCTGAGCGTAGAGGAGACAGGGATTCTTTGCAGAAGGGACAGACAGGGCCCTGGGTGCAGGGAGGAGGCGGCTGGCTGAGGGCTTGGGCCCAGCAGTCTCTAAACCAGCAGACCAGACCCAGAAGTGCCTGCAGTCGCCCTGTCTTACCCATAGCCTGCCGGTTCCAGGGAGGCTGGTCTGAGTCAAAAGGTCAAGGCTGTTTGGTGCCCGACGGAAGTCCTCGGCGGGCCTCCTGTTCTTGGCTGCAGCAGAAGTGAGCTGTGGTCCCAGCTCTGAGGAAGGGACCACCTTGGTGTGGGGTCTGAAGGCCCCAGGGTGTCTGGGAGGGTTTGTACAAGCCCAGAGTCTGAGTATTTTAGTTTGCAGGGAGTGGGGTGGTGCTCGGACAGGCGGTGCTGGGATCTGCTGCTTGCAGCTTGGCCTCGCCAGCTGTCCTTAGAGATATGGGCAGGAGGCGCCCCCCGGGCTTCTGTGGGGTCTGGTCGTGGCCCTGCAGCAGTCTCTAGAATGTCCGGGCATCCCCGGGCTGCTTTTATGTGAGTCCTCAGTGCAGCTCCTTGCCGATGTCCAGCCAGGTGAGAGGGAGCGACACTAACTGGAGTGGAGCTCTGAGTGATGCCGGCTTCTCCGGTGACTCGTCACCATTTCCCAGCACTTCCTCGACACTGTCCCCACACACCTTGTCTCTGCGTTCATTCTTTGAGCAGGGGAGCTGAAGGCACGGTCTGCACGTGCATTCTTCCAGCATGCAGGAGTCGCAGGTGTGGCGGGGACCCTGCCAGCGTGGCACAGCCGGGCGACATCCTTCTGCTGACCTGTCTTGCTTGCTTGCTTGCTTCTCTGGAGTCCCCCTCTGTGGAGTTGAGTACGCCGTGGGCATTCCTCTCCCCCTGGGTGAAGCCCACACAGCAAGCAGCTCCTTAGGGAGAGGGTTACCATGGCAGGCAGGTAGCACGTGTGGTTGGAGTGGGCAGCCTGTCCCCTGGGGCCCGGGGCTGTGGGGCCTGCAGGGGTCATCTCTGTTCAAAGGAGCAGCTGTCACACGGCTTCGGCGATTTTACCGTTTGGGGGTGACAAATGTTGTAGAAGTGCCAATTTGTTTTTAAAAGAGGAACCCCAAGTCCAGTCTGTTGCTTCAGTATAAAATTTTGACTGTGCTAACTCATGAAGCAATTTCAGCAACCCAAACAAAACATAGCTGGGGCTATTCAGACTTCAGCCTCCTTAAAAGCCCGCCTCCTCCGGGGGGCTTTTCTGGTCAACATCCTGCTTTTCTGGGTGCCGTATGTCATTGGTACAACTAGAAAGTGTCCGAGGCTTCAGGGGTGGTGGGTTGACAGGGTCTTACGCTGGGTGACGCTGAAAGTTTCCGCACAGTTGAAACCATGGCGTAGTGACAGCGTTTGGGTCTGGAGACGCTGGCCAGGTTTTAAAGCCTGTGTGTGGACACACCTTACGACGCCAAGGGCAGAAACCCACAGTATTAGCTCATGGCCTTGTGTAGCCTGTGGGTGCCTGTAGGGGAAGGGAGGGGCCGGTCCCTGGAGGGCCTCTGGGAAGGGCAGAACACAGCTGAGAATCCCCAAGCTTTGCATGGGGCTCTGCGAGCTGGTGCTCAGCTCCCTGGGTATCTGTCCATGTGGTGGCCTTGTCCCCTGCTTGGTGGATGGATGCTTTGTCCCCTGGGCCCGGACATTCACTGCAGTGGAACAGAGGTGGCACATTGCAGTGTAGGGGAGAGGTGGGGCCGACTGGAGTCTTCACTGCGTGGGGACTCTGGGGGGATCTCCATCCTGTCTCAGATCTGTTAAAAGGGAATAATGGCAGTACTGGCCTCACAGGATTATCGTGAGTGTTCAATGGGATGAGACGTGTGTCAGTTGCTTGTGGAGGGCTGGCGGCGGGTGTTCAGGAACCACCAATTCCCTCCCTGTCCCTTGACCCAGCTCTGAATCCAGCTCAGCTTGTCTTAGGCTGTTGGTATTTTCAGCTCTGTCATTTCTTAAGCCAGTGGATTCCTTGAGAGAGGACCCGACTGACCTCTTCATTTTTAGCTTTTGCTTTCCCCTCCCCAATTATAAAAGCAATGCATTGCTACGATGAACATGTATTACATTAAAAATCCAGAAATGAACAGGGCGGTGGATGCCTATTGTATACAGCGAGGAAGGTGCCGCAGCATCAAGGAACAGAACAGAATTGTTCTGAGTTCTACCATTGTTTTTCCTTCCAGTCCTTCTTTCCCTCCCGTTGTGGCTGATAAGCCCCTATCCTGTTCAGTAGTATTTGCTGCTTTTGTTCACTTACTGTAGCGTCGACTTTTTCTGAAACCCCTGTGAGCTACTTGTAAACATTACTTTTAGTGGCTGTGTGTATATTTCAGTGTTCCAAAGCCACTTTTTTTTTTGTAAAATAAGATCATTTGTGCTGAGACCTGCAGAATTAAGTTATTACTGAAAATACCGAATTGTAGTTGGCTAGATTGGTCCTGCTCTGACTTCTGCAGGCAGGTACACATTGCTTACAAACACGATCCTCTGGGACAGTTTATGTGAAAGAATGAATCACTTTTTAAAAAAGCATTTATTTATTTGAAAGGCAGACTGTCAGAGAGAAGGGGAGATGGAGAGACAGACCTTCCATCTGCTGGTTCACTCCCCAAATGGCCACAACACTCAAGGCTGGGCCAGGAGCCAGGAATTCCACATGGTCTCTCATGTGGGTGGGGCAGGGGCCCAAGCACTTGGGCCATCCTCCGCTGCTTTCCCAGGTTGCATCAGCAGGGACCTGGATTGGAAGTGGAGCAGCCAGGGCTCGAACCTGCTGTTGTCACCAGGTTGACTCCATGAATCACATTTAATAGGCTATGCATTTGATGAGGATTTAAAGTTAGCACATTCAGGAGTACTCAAAAAGTTCATGGAAAGAGCGTGCAATGAAACAATTCTGCATGAATTTTTTTTTTATTTGACAGGCAGAGTTAGACAGTGTGTGAGAGAGAGAGACAGAGAGAAAGGTCTTCCTTTCGTTGGTTCATCCCTCAAATGGCCACCATGGCCCGTGCTGCACTGATCCGAAGCCAGGAGCCAGGTGCTTCCTCCTGGTCTCCCATGCGGGTGCAGGGCCCCAGCACTTGGGCCATCCTCCACTGCCCTTCCGGGCCACAGCAGAGAACTGGACTGGAAGAGGAGCAACCGGGACTAGAACCTGGCGCCCATATGGGATGCCGGCGCTGCAGGCAGAGGATTAACCAAGTGAGCTACGGCAAATGTAGCCCATGTAGCCTGGGCGCATGGTGGCCTGCACTTTCTCTCCCCCTTGAGTCTCTTCCGCTCGGTTTGCTGTACTCTCCGCTCTCAGCTTCGCCAGGCCTGGTGGAGGGACTTGGGATGGATGGCCATGTTGCTGTTTCTTGCGGCCTCACTGGGGAGGCATCACATCACAAACTTGCCGGATTCCACACACATGCCTGTGTTCTCAGACCACCCGTTAGCTTCCTTCGCTGGGCCCGGAAGGTGTCCGTCTGTCCGGCCCCTCCTGGAGGAAGCTGCTGTGTGAGGGCACACCTGGGAGCTTGTGTTGCCACGTGGTTCTGTGTGGCCTCCTTTTCTGCCTGGGCAGGCTCTCCCTTGGCATCTCACCCTCCGAGCCCCTGCCCTTTGCCCACCTGCGGCCCCGGTTGAGCTCTGTCTTGCTTTGCTGTGCTGTGTCCCACAGAGCTCTCCTCTTCCTGACCTCTCGGGGGCTGCTGTTAGTGACATTTCCAGCAGGAAGTTGGCTGTGGATGAGGCTGCAGCCACTGTTGGCTCTTCACAGTGTTTGGCTGGGGACGGAAGACCATCTGTCCCCTCTGTGGAGTCCCCACGGGCTGGGACTGTAGCCTGTCCCTGCTGAACTCCGCGACTTCAGGGTTCTCCTTTGGTCTGGGGTCCCTCCTGTTCACGTGCACACACACCTGCATATGGTGGAACAAGGGGTCTGTCGGAGCCCCGCCTCTGAGAACTCACACACACATACACACACACACACGTGTGCAGGCATCCATATGAGCATGCCCATGTACACATGTGCACATGTATACACACCTGCATATGGTGGAACAAGGGGTCTG